TGACCACCGCCTCCACCGCCTCCGTGTCCGCCTCCACCATGTCCTCCGTGACCACCGCCTCCACCGCCTCCGTGTCCGCCACCACCACCTCCTCCATGTCCGCCTCCACCACCTCCTCCACCGCTGGAGAATCCATGTGACTTTCCTCCATGGTGTTCGTGCTTGTTACCATAATCCTCATGGTGCGAGTGATGCTCGTCGAATCCGTGTTTACCATGGAAACCNATCCTCCGTGACCACCGCCTCCACCGCCTCCGTGTCCGCCACCACCACCTCCTCCATGTCCGCCTCCACCACCTCCTCCACCGCTGGAGAATCCATGTGACTTTCCTCCATGGTGTTCGTGCTTGTTACCATAATCCTCATGGTGCGAGTGATGCTCGTCGAATCCGTGTTTACCATGGAAACCTTTGTGGTCCTCGTCGAAGTGTCCCTTATCAGAGTGTCCCTTTTTGCCGTGGTGATCGCTATGATGTCCGGAATGATGATGACCACCCTTCTTGTGATGGCCCTCGCTACTCTTATGGTCTCCATGATGATGGCCATGTTTCTCGTGATGCCCACCCTTATGGTAGTCATCGTAGAACTTGTGCTCCTTGTGGTACTCGTCCTTGTGAGCCTTATGATGGTAGCCGTGTGTCTTCTCTCCCTTTTTGTGGCCCTTCTTGTGCCCGAATTTCTCCCCCTTGTGTCCTTCCTCGTGTTCGTGGTGGCTCCCGTGCTCGTCGTGCTCGTCGTGGTGGCCCTTCTTGTGTCCACCATGCTCCTCGTGGTGTCCTCCCTCGTGGTCTTTACCGTAATGACCGTGATCGCCGTGATCGTGGTGATGGTGGCTCTTGTAGCCCTTTTCTCCTTTATCTCCGTGTTCCTCGTGATGGCTGCCGTGATGGTCGTGACCACCGCCGCTTTCGTGACCACCACCACCACCGCCACCACCACCGCCTCCGCCGCCGCCGCCGCCGCCGCCATGATGGCTGGCTGCCACCTCGAGGTCCCTCCTGCTCCTCGGCTCCTTAGCCGAGGTCAGGGAGACGCATGTGTAAGCCACGGCTAGGCCGAGGCAGAGCCACAAACTTCTGGCCATACTGATACTTTGTGGACCAACCAGTGCTACCGACTGATCGCATCGCTTTAACGCAAACCTTATATACCAGCCGTGATACCGGCACTCTATACGTAATCGCTTTCGTTCCTCCGAGCCGCTGAGTTGACACAGGCGATTCATATTTCGTAAACTCCGCCCGCGGTCCGTTTCGTCGCGCAAAGGTGAGACGCGGGCATCCGTCCCACAGTCCAAAGGCGATACATCGATCGCGACGAACACTTTTTTCGCGTAACCCAGCCTAAGCACCCCTTTCTAATCGACCGCGGTGCAGGCAAGCGTTGTTTCGCAGTGGACACACCGCCGACGGACAGGCTGGTTTTTTTGCTGAAAAAAGTCAATCAATTTGCAACCGGTAGAGTACGCCGGCCCGTTACAAAACGACCGGCCTTTGTTTCACTGAAAAATGAACTTCTCACCGTTCACCGAATTTCCTTGCTTTACGCAACCGGCGTCTCACTTTCGTCGATTAAACCTGAACGCGACTTTTGCCGTTTCTTCCGTCGCCGGCGGAACTCGGAATGTCAACGGATCAGGAAAATCTGGACACGATTGTGGTACGACACGGCTACCTTTCACGAGCGTTAGGCAAGGAGGCCAAGCGTGTCGGGAACTTCATAAAAGAAGCACAGGCGATTCGCGTTGCGGTCGATGACACGCGTTCGTGTCAATAAATACGACGCGATCTATTTTCATCGCAAGCCGATCGATAATTCTCTGGTGCAACACGTAGTAAGCAGAAACTCGATTAAAGTATCTGCGCTGTCGTTGAACTAAAAGTCGATACTCGCCCCCGCCGATCCGCGCAAACTTATCCGAATAATTTCATTTTGCAATAATTAACGTATAATCGAGACGTGAAAACTCGCTCGCCACGAGCTCCATCGGTCCGACGTCCTAATCACGGTCCGAAGCTTCGGCCATTGCAAGATTCGAAATCGCGTTACAGCCGGTTACGTAACGACACACAGCGGCAGAAAAACCGAAAAGGTGTGAGATTATAGTTCGCGCGTCGCGTCGGGCAGAACAGATCCCACGAGAGAGACTGCGATTTCGATCGAGTTGCATAACGGTTTCGATCGACGGCGCCGGATCGGCTGGAACCGAGAACCGTCGAATCGTGGGCTAAGCGGGTTAAGGAGACGCTACTTTCGCAACGTCCCGGTAAGGAGCCAGGAAAGAGCCTGCTTCCTTAATGCCGATTTTTCCCCGTTCGATATAAAATCGGAGCGTGGTGACCAGATTAATCATACCGAACGCAGCGTCGGCGCCGAACGTTTCGGTACCCCAACGATCCGATCGCGTCGAACCATGAATTCCCACCTGGTGATGCTGCTGCTCTTCGCCGTGTTCGTCGCCTGTCAGTGCCTGGCGGCGGCTCGGGAGATCGGCCAACAAGATGGCGACATGGTGGCAGCGGCTTCCCATCATCGTTACGAGAAAGGTGGCGGCGAGGAGCACCATTCCGATCATCGTCAGAAGCACGGGGACAAGGGCGACAAAGGGTACAAGTCGTCGCACGAGCACGAGAAAGGTGAGAAGGGCCACCACGACAAAGACGAGCACAAAGGCTACTACGACGAAGAAGAGGGCCACAAGAAGAATCATCATCACGACGACGGCTACTACGCCGAGCATCACAAGGGCGAGAAGGGCGAGAAGGGGCACAAATTCCACGAGGAAGGACATTATGGGAAAGGTCACAGCACCAAGGGACACCACGAGGTACACAAGGTAGACGAATTCAAGAAGGACAAGGAGTTCTTCGACGAGCATCACGATTCCGGACACCACGAGGACCACGGCGGCCATCATCACGAGCACGGTCACAAGAAGGGCGGCCACTTCAAGAAGGGTCATCACGACGAAGGCGGACACGAAGATCATTATGGCAAGAAGGGGCACTTCGAGAAGGGAAGTCATCACCATGACGACAAGGGACACAAGAGCTCCGGCGGTCACGATGAGCATCACGAGCATCATTCCAAACATGGGAAGAAAGGCGGACACGACGACCACAAGTCGTGGGGATTCAAAAAGGGTCATTAACAAGTGTTCACGATGATTGTTATGTTTGTTAAGCGTCGTGACATGTTCAGCTTTGTGTTTCATTGAAATAAACATATTTTTGAGATTCGTGCCGGTTGGACGATACTAACTTCCGTCTTTGCGCGCGTTACATACTTTAATAAAAATTCATTCCTGTTTGAAATTATCGTGTTGCTTTCCTTACGAAATAAATAATGCGTACCGAAAACTCGCATCCAATTTTTAAAGCGTATTTCATGAATTAATTTCTATTATATGATAATGAAATTTGATATATGAAAATTTGAATCGATTGATCGATTCAAGGACTTGTCTCGAACATGTTTCAAAGTTTCAAATAGATAACCGAGCGTAAACTATGAAACTGTATCAAACCTTTATGGAGTTTTTATGATGAAACGGAATGAAAGTTCGATCATTGTATCAGAACTCCAATTTGGCAATATATCCGAGGTATTTGTCAAGCCAGTTTATATATATATATATATATAGCAGTGCTTCTTGTGATAGCTCGGTGGCTTCGTGTTTTTGCATTCGACACGCTACAGTACGTTAGCCGACGCAAAAGATTGGATCGTTAACACTTTCTAGGACGGTTACATCATTCGATTTTCTAACAGGACAATAGCCACTGAAATAGTTAAAATATAATATCATAAATGCACCTGCTTGGAAATCGTATCTTCTAGGATCAATACAAAGTATGAACTATCTTTGTGTCCATAGTATCGGCGTTTTAAGAAATTTATGACAAGCGAACATTTCGAGATGAAATATGAGCAAGCAAGATTCAAGTAGGTGTTGAGCCCTTAATAGCTGGGAACTCGATAATCATGTTATGTAATGGAAATCGGTACCGTTTGCTCGCTCATCGTTTCAGTTATGCAGCTAGTGTTGCATATTGAGAGTAAGTGTGAATTCCTTGATAAATCGTGAACATAAACTGAACTCCCACTCGGTGTCATGTGGATAACGGCAACAGTGCAGTTGTACAGTACAGAGCTCGATCAATATTAGCCGGTCCCTTGTTTGTTGAATTTATACGGCTGTTCATGAATTAACGCGATTATAATAGCGTAATCGTAATGCCGTCGAAACATAGTCACGATCGTGTGACACATTGTTATAAGATTAGCAAATACCTTTACAATGGCCCATAAAAGTGTTCGTACACATTTTAAAACATAATAACTTTTTTCAAACTGGACTAAGCGACTCGATTTTGTTATTATTTCGACCGACAAAAGAAAAATAGAAAACTCTCGTTTTTTGACTTTTTTATCCGAGCTTATCCGTATCCTTTTTCTTTTGATATTTTTAGTCTATCATTAATTCGTGCGGCTTGGTTCTCTTCAGTCTTTTCGTATTGTTTCCAATATTGATTGGATCGTTTGCCAGCTGGTTCGAGCGATGTTTTTTTATTACATGAATTAGAATACAATAAATACGCAACGATAACGCTTCAAGTGTTGGAAGCAACGATCGACGTTAGTAGGATCCTTTGCGATACTTGTCTTCCTTGGCTGACTTCGAACCCTCTTCAACAACGTAATCCTGGTGATTCCGGTGATACGACTTCTCCCCTTCCTCGGTCCGGTGACCTTGATCCTGCCTACGATCGTGTCCTTTGTCGTAGTACCCTTCCTTGCCGCTGTCTTCCTGCTCGTGGCCCGAAGAGCGATGGCCACCCTTCTGGAATCCGTGCTCGGCTACTTTGGAATCTTTATCGAATTTCTCGAACTTATCGAAATAACCCTTCTTATGGTCCTCGTCGTAGAAATCAGTCTCCTTCTTGTACTCGTCTTTGTGGTAGACGTTGTGGAATCCTTTAGTCTCGTCGCCCTTCTTGCGATACGAAGAATGTCCGTAATTGCTGCCCTCTCCTCCTTTCACAGCTTCTTCATTGGAGCCATACGCCTCCCCTTCGTCAACGTGTCCCTTCTCTCGTTCTACGTTCTCGCTGTAGTGTCCTGAAACAGTCGATGATATTAATATCAATATATTCGTTAGCAGCCGAATCTCACCTGGATCGCATTCAGAGAAAGATAATAGCGTTTAAAAGAAAATCAAATTTTCTTTACAATATCAGTTAGTTTTACCTTTAAAAAAGTACAGATTCCAATTAGATCACTTTCTTAATTCAAAGAATAGAGCAGCAAGTAAGAATGAAGGTTGGAATCCACATAAATTATTCTCATATAAAGTAAGACGGCGGAGTGATACCCACCGTAGAAGTGCAAAGGGTTAAGCCAGACTTAAAACATGACTCGTGGTACTTTTATAGTTGCCTTTCTCAAGATACGTGTTGAAACAACTGAACGAAGTTAGGTTATTCTCCCCAGCTTCAAGAAGATTACCTTCGCGATGTTCGCGATCGCGTGCGCCACGTTCACCTTTACCGAACGCACGATGTCTCTTATAAGCTTTATCCCCATCCTCGCCATGCTCAGAGTATTCATCGGCCGCATACTGCTCCCCGCTTTCATCTTCGGAAACGCTTCCACCGTCGCGAGGACTATGCGATCCACCGCTTTCATCGCTATGGGATCCATAAAACTCGCCGCGTCCCTCCCCAGAGTCGCCGCCAATATCGGACTCCTCGGACGAATGATCAAAGTCTTCCTGAACGTCTTCATCGCTGTCGCCGTCCTCGTCCCGGTGATCGTTCAGCTCGTCTTCGTGGCCATCCTCGTCGTGTTCCTCTTCTCTGCGATGCATTTTATCGGCCTCGTTCTCGGTCCGCTCCAGGATCTTCCCCAGGTAATATGGCGCCCGAGGCATCGACTCTACAGGCAGCGGCACGTGGTTGGGCAATCGGTGGTCGGCATAGGTGACAATTTCTTGGCGCGCCCCTTTGTCCAAGGCCGCGTACGGCTGCAGAATCGGCGTTTGTGCAACAGGTGCGCCGACGTAACGCGCGACGGCGTCTGGCGTGCGATAGTAGCTTCCACTTCCGTGATCGGTGTAACGCAGGTAGTAAACCGGAAGACCCTGTTGCTGGTTGTACACGTAACCGCTGGCGGAGCTCTCGAGGTCCTCCGCTCGCATCTTGGCGACTGTCATACGCTGCATCCGGGCCGGCACCGCCTCGATCCGGCCCACCACCGCAAGAAACATGCACGCGAACACCCGGTCGACGAGCATCGTTCGAATCGGCGTAGATCGTCGGACTACGCGATCGGCGTTATTTCTCGCCGGTGAACCGTAATCCGCACTGGTACGTCTATCAATCGTCGGCATTGCTTTATATATCGACGCGAGAACGTGATCCGAGGCTGCCACCGTCGAATAAGGGATCGCCGAGTGGAACCGGGCATTCCACGGTCGAGCTCGATAATTCAAGTACACTGTGTGTCATTGACGGAGTCGATTTACTTGCCGGCTGCTCCCGGGAATCGCGACCGATTTGCGTAATGCATTGCGCCGGCCGTCCGGACTCGTGGACCTAGCCGAGATCGATCGTGATCAAGGCTGTCGCAGGAATCCTTTGGTCGTGTTTGCCGATTACGTCGGAATGGAGAACAGTTGCTGAAAAAAAGGTGAGAGGCGAATTCGCAAGCGTTCGAAGAATGCCGAGCGGAAAATTTGACGTTCCGCCGTGGGTTGGCGACAATACGCTTCTAAATTTCTAGCGAAACGTTTAAGCGGATATTCTAATCTATAATAGAAACATCGGTTTTTGTTGTTTTTTAAAGCTTTGCTATCTTTTTCTAACTTTCCGAAAATAAAATAGAAAAGATCGATTTTTTAAAGGTTTTATAATATTCTAAAATATATTTCCTTACGAGTGGAGGAATGTGGTTTGTACTTGCATTAGAATAACGAGAGAATTCCATTGGAAATGAGAATGGAATTTCGATTCTTCAATCTGCTGCAGTTTAATTATTAAAAACCTACCCCAAAACCGTAGAAATGACGAATATTACTTCACCTTTAGTCGGTATATCGCTTAAAACCATTCAATTTTTGTTGTAATTTTTTTGTTGTAACTCATTGTTCCACGTGCGTTTGATGATTCGCGTGTGTGTGTGTGTGTGTGTTCTAGTTTCAGAAAGTGACTCGATAGCATGAAGCAATACCGGGCATCGATTCGAATAGCAATTATTTGTGTCCGACCCCGTTGCTGCTCGATCGATTCCGCAAAATCGAACGGAAGCTCTTTCACGATTTTAAAAAACACGGCTTAGTCGAATCCGCGACTGCAGAAAACACGATGGATCTAATCACATGGGTCTAACACCGCGAAAGAACCATGTTACGTAATAAATCCGGTAGCATGTTGCGAATTTGAACGGTACGCGACAGATCGACTCGAACAATTTGTTAAAAAGTCCTGTACAATAAAGGAGACGTAAAATAAAAGGATAGGCGTCATTTGATGGCGTTTTTGGACCGATCACTTTCTAATTCCTGTGTGTAATGAGATAATAGTGATAGCATTTCCTCATCTGTACAGGTTGTTCCTAGAATTGTGACTATCGATTATCGATATTTTATCGATATCTTATACATGCTTCACGATATATCGGTAATATCTGTGTAGATTTTAATTAATGCATAATGTCTGAATCGTTAGTTGGGAAGAAAAATGAAAACGTTTAAAAAAGAAGTAGACGGAGGACAGCTTTGCAACCTCATTTGTATATGTCGAACGTCGCATACGTTTTAGATTCTATTGAATTTTGTAATTCTCTGCGTGTTACATTGGGCATAGACTCTCGTTATACAATAAATGCATAAATAATCAACTGAAAAAACATTCGGACAGAGTACATTCCAATAAACGGTCCTTGCAGTCGCGTCGATTAAAATTTCCTAATCTCGGGAACCCGAAGGTCGTTAGCGGCGTGCGCAAGATTAATCGCGAAGTCTTGGTGAACCTGGTGAGAACGCTCGGGAATTTCACGGTGAAATCGATCGTTCGGACTTTGTCGAAACTCGTGGTCGGCCGTCCTTCCAGATGCATTCTGCAGTCTTGAGCGAGTGGCGATAGCGTCGGAACGCTCTCGATCGGCCATGGCGACATATAAAAGAGGTGGGCCTAGGGCCGCGTGATTAGAGTAGACTCGAGCGCGTTTCCGCGAGCCGGTCCGCTGGGAGGAACTTTTAGCTAACCATAACTTACCACGCGATGAAAGCTTTGGTCTCGAGGTGAAGCAGACCGTCGTAACGAAGCAATAAATCACGCGGAAAATGATCGTCTCGAGTAGAGGCGGCTATAGTTCGAGGAGGGCCGTGGTTTGCTTGGTCCTGTGCGTATATGTCGCTGCGACGGAGGCGTACACGGTCTACGTGTTTAATCCGCAAGCTTACAATCCAGAAGCGATCGGCGCGAGGCAATCTTACGTAGAAGCCGAGGATCTGTCGCGGGATGGCGACTACCAGTCGAGGCTGATCCCCATCAAGACGCCTCGCGTGGACGAGCAACTGGTAGCTTTGCCCCTGGAGCCGGAGGCCGAAATGCTGCCGGCTCATTACACCGGTGTAAAGCCGCCCGGTGTCGACCACATGGAACTGAAGTACGCGGAGAGCCAGGTCTCGAAGGTCGATCCCACGCATCAATCGTCGAGGAGCTCGAGCCAACGTGGAGCGACTAGGCAGCAATCTGGCAGCGTCCACGAGGTTCAGCGACAGAAAGCGGCTTCCTTCGAGAAGGCGCGGAAAGGCGATCGTCGGAAAGAGCACCGGACGAGCGAATCCGTCGAGAACGGTGGCCAGAAGAAGAGTCGTTCCAAGGAGAACGACAGCTCCGAGCACGATGAAGCAACGGCCGGTGGGAAAGCGGGGAACAGCCATCGGAAAAAGAAGAGCGGCTATTTAAACAGCAAGGCGGGCGGCTATCGCAATCTGTATCACAAGGACGAGTTCAAGAGGGACCACGATTTCTATGATAACGACGACGAAGGCGGACACTTGAAGAAACACGGCCGCTACAAGGAGAAGCATGTTGCGCGCGAGGGCACGTACAAGAACGGAGCGAGCAGGAACGCGGGCGTCGGTGGAGCGGAAACCGGGAAGAAGGGAGCTAAAAAGAACTCCCGGGCCGAGCAGGAATCCGAAGGTCGTGCCGCCGGCCGCGGTTACGATGGATTCTTTAAAAACTTCCAGGGATTCGCGAAACAGATCGGTCAAGCGGACGGCGGAAAGTTTGGCTTCGTCGAGGCGAAAGAGCGATAGGGTAGATGCGTCAGTTACGGTGCCCTTAACACGGAATCTTCCGAGGCAGTGAAAATGAGCGATTTCGTTAACGCGTCAATAATTTTACGTAAATTAAAAGTTATATTTTATTTGAAAATAATTAATACTTTCGATCTGTTCGAGCTAAATTTCGTTGGAATTGAAACTTAATCCGAGGCAACGGTAATCGAGGGACCCGTAGTAACCGACGCATCTATCCTAGAACCGTCCTGCAGAATCCTGTGGTTACACGTTCGAGTATGTCGTTCCATTGCTCGTTTCAGAATAAATTCTTGATTGCTGTTTTATCGTTTACCCGTTATGCGATGGAATTTATTCGATTTATCGGCGCTGCCCGTGATCGAGCACGCGTTTCCGCGCTATCGTTAATGCGTGTCATGCGATGAGCTTGATTGAAGATAATTATCCGATCTACATTGTACATATTATCGGTGCGATATTTAGCATAATAGCGGCATGTATAATAATTTCGTATTAATGATGCTGATTGTCTCGCATCAGTTTTTTGGATTTCTTACGAACGTATAATACGAGTACGTGGAAAATCAATATTCCGAACAATTAATTTCGAGAGGCGATTATCGTCGTTGATTAATCTGCGATCACCGTTTTATTTGTCTGCTTTCGTTAACTTTTATTGCGCACATCGTTTACTCAGATTTTTATCAAGAAACGTGCAGTAAGAATATTGTAAAAGCTAAGATGCTGCGGTAAATAAAAGGATGAAGCGTAAGAATTGTTCGAAGGAAATGTTCATATTTTCGATGGACCACATTGGCAAAGTACAATTTATTTGCGCGCGATCTGTTTTTATCGATCAATTTTTGGTTCGCTTCGATCATATTCCCGTGCGTGATTTTCTGGAAACTGTTCCCCATCGCAAGCTCGGAATTTTTCATTTCGAGTCGATTCCATCGATTCGAAACGGGACGAGGATCTACAATATACTTTCATATTTCCCGTAGTTCATCAGGACATATCGTTGCGTTCTCGTTCCTCGTTTCTATTTACGCGGCGGGCAATGATTCGCCCGTGCACCGATTCGGCTCGTTTCGCGCGTCGGCCGACGGAGGTCGGTTGATTAATGGATATTAATAATACCGAGCATCGTTGTACCGATAAATTGCAATCTTCCCCCGCATCGGATGAGGTGAGAATAAAAGTTGGTAATCGATGCAAGCACGCTGGGCCGAGCTCTGCCCATCTCGAGGCAATGTAACACCGTTAGTCGTTTACGATGGTACGCAGAAATTCTACATCGATATTCGCTAAAATATTTTACGTCGTTTACTCGGTTGGAGATGGGTTTGAACTTGTTAATGGGAAGAGAAAATTCATTCCTCCTTGTTTTCACAAATACGAGATCTTAGGTACGTTCGTATTATATAATGTTAAATCAGGAAAGACAATTCCAGAAGGTTGCGATGTCGAAGACAAGAATTTTATATGGCCAACGCTTGAGAAACGGCAAGACGAATGAATTTCCTGAGAAAGTCGACCTAACAAAATCTAAACGTTCCATTTAAAAAGGACCAGAGCACGTCGAGGTTCTCCTTGCATCCAACGGCACACGCTTATGATTTACAACTTGCGCGTAAAGACAAAGACGTCGTGGAAGTGTGCAAGCGATCGTACGTGTGCCAGTAGTTGTATGTTGGAGGCATTGAAACACGCCGCGTGTAATACATAAATCAGCCGGTCTCCTGGCTGCCATATCATTTCGTACGGTGGTCGTGAACGAATGGACCAACGTTTGAGTTATCGGCCCGGCCGTTCATCCCGCAATCTAGGGTAGGCCACGAGATTCTTCGCGCGCCCACTTTTTCACTTCGATATCATTTTCATCGAGAGAATCAGCAGTTAAGCAGCGAAATGAAATTTCCCTGGCCCCTGGGTCATTAGTGAAACACCGACATATAATGTCGTCGTACAGTTCCAGGGAGACACTCTGGAATAGAGAAAAGTTTAAGGGAAAAAGATTAAAAACGAGCGAGTTATCCTTCTGTAAAATGTAAAAGGACGTTCAGGTTTCATCGCATTTACAGAACTTCGGCCATTAGTCGAGCTTCCGACGGTGCCTTCTATTACGACGACACGAGGGGCAATCAAATAATGTAATCGTTCATTGTTATCATTAAGTGTTCCCTCGGGTTCGTAATACCCTCTCGTGGTTAAGTACAGAGTCCTGCTTATGAGATCGATCATACAATCTTTCTGTATGTTATACAGCACAGCTGGACACTATTCGAATTGTTCCAAACAAATAATTATTAATTATTCGGATGAATTCTTTCTAGACGAATGTTTTATTCGAATAACGATTATTAATATATAATATATTTAAAATATTTATTATTTATTATTACAAAAACTACATAACAATTTTTCACTTACAAAACAATTTCTTTTTTAATTTTTGTTTCACGGACCACTCTTAATACGAATCTCGTATTCTGCTCTTAGATACAACGCCAGCGTCAATTCCACGAAGTTTATTTTTCCATAACAATCGGCGAGCAAGTGAATTTAGATGCGAGTTACTCGTTCGATTACCGTCGATTACTACGTTCACCGTGTACTTTTCTCTTGACCACCCGCTGATCCGATGGAAACGATTCGGGCCACGTAGATAGTCTAGGCATCGATGCTACTAGTACCAGTATGCAAAAGTCAGAGCAGAATGACTATGTCGAGGCTAATAGTATGCAGGAAGTGTATTCTGAAAGGCCTCGAGGGTATGCCGAATTGCCAGAGAATTGGGTATCGACAAGCTAATTTTCACATCACGAGAGGGAGCTTTAAACCGCGGACGATATGTGAAGTGAGTTCATTTGAATACGATCGTTCTGTTCTGAATGAAACGTTCGGATAACCTACGCCAGTTTGCTAACAAATAGAACGCGTCTTTGTACAAAATAAAACGGCTGTATGATTTACAAGAAACAGGAGACGAATTGTTTGTTTCTTCCTCTAATAATTTGAACGAATGGAAAGTAATATGTTGATGGTTTCGAATTTCCTTAATCTTTCTGACGTTTATACTTCGTCTACCGATTTTCCTCATAAACGTATAAAATTCGCAATCGATTAACGCTCGAACGATGGATCATTCTAACCCTGTGTGATCATTTATGATATTATTTATCAATTTCGGGTCGGTTCGACAGAATTCGGGCGGGATCGGGCGAGACATCGAAAGTACGATATACGTGTAAGTATACGAATGTTATCTAGAACGTTGCAACTACGAGCGGGGTTATATCAGTATTTCGAAAGTATTCAGAGTCCTTTGTACATATCAAACTTGAATGTTCTAAAGTAATGACAAATGAGCCTTGATCTCGAAATTCCGTACGCGGTTTCTTGGATTCTGCTCAGTCATTTCATTTGGTATTTTAATATTAACGACTCTTGTGGCAAATGGAATTACTGTAAGATATTTGAATTAATTATAATTAGACGTTTTTAATATGCTCTTTGAGGGGACTATGCGTGGAACGTGACGCGATCGTCAATGAACTGTTACTCTTTCGCAAGTCCGGTTTTCACCGATCTTCGCAAAAAATCTGCCACCTAACGTAATCCCGTTTTGCTCGAATGGATATACTGTACAGACGAAACGACAATGTATTTAAATTGCAACAGCAACGATCGGAAACAAGCCTCAACTTCTTTTTCCAGCGTCACAAATAGACTGTGAATTTTATGTATTCGTTTCAAACATTTGTGCCAAAAACTGTACCGAATATCTGGCAATAGATCCGCATCCTAATTATGGCCGTTGATCTGCAAACAGAGAGGTGATTTATCGAATGAACTCATACAAAACGGTGTTCGTTTCATGATCGCAGGACGGTCCAGCTTTCACGACACGTTTGGCACTGCCTATTGACTATGACAACGTGGCGGACTTCATGACAGACATATACTACAAAGGTGAACCAACAGTTCGAAACATAGGCTGTGCTCCCGTAACCGCGCCGCCAGTATGGCGCGAGAATATGTACGACCAAGTGAAGATGGGTTTGTCGATCGTAGCTGAAAATAGAGATCATTGCCTGATCGGTGCAGCTCTGAACACAGTTGTGTATCCATGGGAAGCAGCGGCGATAGAGCAGTGCGCAAAATGTGTCGACTCAGGTCCGATCAAGGAAGTCTTGCATTTCTTCGGCTACATAGCCTATCAACCGAGAATTTTCGAACGGTTCTGCGTTTCGAGGATGTTCGAGGTTACCAGCTTAGCAGTGGATGAAGATTACCGAAGCATGGGGGTAGCCAAGAGGCTGATAACGGAAAGTTGGTACTTGGCACGCGATTGTGATTACAAATTGTTTCACATGTGTTGCACCAATAGGTAATGAAACGCGGGTGTTCAATTTCTTAATCTTTTTATTAACATCGATTCATTTGCTTAACTTAATCGGTTAGCTGTTTTTGACGAGCATACTCGTTGTAACATCAAATGCTGTCATTTCTTCGTGACGGTTATGCTCTTCGAAAACAGCTAACTGGTTAAACAACGGGGCACGTACAAGAGTCGATTAAAATTAACGAAATCTTTTTATACGCAGACATTGTATGCAGATATGTTCAAACTTCGGATGGCAAGAAGTATGGAATATACCTTTCGATCAATACGTTCGGAATGGTGAAGTGATCTTCAAGAACGTTCAAGAACCGAACAATATTTGTAGAGTATTTATCGATTGGTTGAAGGATTGTAAAACATATTGTCAGCCGTCTAAAAAGTGTACAAAAATATTGCCACCGCCTCCACAGCAATAAATTCTCATCGAATTCACCTCTTCATAATATTTAATTAATAAAAACTTTGTGACCATTACATTGCTGAAAACGAACGTTTGCATAAAGCCTATATATTACACTGTATCTTTATATTTAATTTGTTATACTTGCTGTACCATAAATTCAATGACAAATTTAGAATGAAACATCTATTTTTTTAGTATTTTTCTATACCGAATAATATTATATAGTGTGCGCGTAATTACGATAAATATCTAGCTGCTCGCCTGTATTTGTAAAAAATGCAATAACCTGCAATTGTGATAATTAGTAACATCAATTACGAAAAGCCGATACAAGAATCGAATCTGGACCAATTACGGAAACGATACAAAATCGAAAGAATAACGATTATAGAATCTATATGAGAACCGGGATAAAAACCATAAGCGACGCAGATATTAGTTGGAAATTTCGATTCTTCGTTATACTCCACGACAAAAAGATAACACATTTTAAAATTAAGTGATTTTTATTTATTATAGTACATCTGTATTAATTACAAATCTTGCATGATTTTCATTAAAGAAAAAGACAAAATGGCTGTAATTATGGTCACCGTGCAATGATCTATTTAAAATTCGACTACGTTTCAAAGTAGTCAATGTCACCGATGTCAACAAAAGGTTTAGAAAAATCTAAACCCAACAAATGTTTCAATGTTATTGACACATGCATCATGTATAAACTGCGAAAGATGTTACAGTTTTTTCGCAAAAAAAACCCAAGAGGAAAGTTGAACAAAAACCTAATTTATATTAGAATACAGTAAATTCTCCCTAATCGTCGCTCAGATTCTGCATAAAAATGGACAATTTGGAAAGAGGGGATACGATTATTCGAGCCTTGCGCCTCGTTTTTATAGTTGCTGACAATCGGTAACTATAAAAACGAATCGCAAGGCTCGAATAATTGTATCCCCTCTTCCCAAATTGTCCATTTTTGTGTACAATCTGAGCGTCGATTAGGGAGAAGTTACTGTACTCCCTTAAGATGTAAAATGATTCTGGGATTCGTTGGAATAAAGATTCTTTATAACCGATTCAAAAGCCGACATCAATATCGTAATAGTTCCCAAGCCCTGTGCTAAGGTTAACGCCCCAAAGGAGCAATTATTTTTATATCAACCGAATAACAAGCGATTCACACACCGACAGATATACATATTTTACGTTTGATATTGATTTGATACGACAGATATACATATTTTACGCATTGGACGGACGTTCCGTCAATATTTTCCCGAATTGTTATCGCTCCGTTGTCAATTTACTTGAGCAGTAAGCGAGTACTTGAAATAAATTTCGTTGTCATTGGCAATCGTTCTTTTGTCAGCGATGAAACGGGAGTTCATCAACCCGCGGTATCCAGCTTGCGGAAGTTCGACGATCGAAGAGAATAAATCGCGACAACACTGAAATTATATGCAAATATCTGATTTCCGAGCTCGGCTCGACTCGATCGCGGGCGACGAAGTTCCGCTTCTCTCGGATCCGCGCGGAATTAGAGATGTCACCGGAGAGTTTTGTAATCGAAGCGAATTTGACTGTTAAGTTCCATATGGGGCGAATGAAGTTTCGAAGCGCCGCCGTGCGGAACGTCAATTAAGCGGACGCCGCGCCGCGCCGTCAAGTCACCGGTAGGAAAATAATTGTCACCGGGTTCCGATGATTCCTCCTCCATCCCTGGTTCACGGTGAAACGAGAATCCGACGATGAAATAAAATCGATCCGCGCGACACATAAATCGCGTCGACGCGAATTTTTACCGTGGACAGGGGGTCGAAAGTGGCCAGCAAATTGCCGGCCGAATTGATCTATTGCCGGCCGAGTTGACTCATTTGTAAAACAATTTCAGATGAACGGCTGATCGTCCATTACCGGCCTGTTATTGCCAGAATTGGGCAGCGATGGCTGCAAACACGGCCGCCCGATATAATTTGACCATCTGCCCGCGGTCGTTTTATGGGAGTGCCCTTGATTCGCGAAAAAAAAAAACCCTCGTGTCGGCTCGTGCTATGGCGACTCCGAAACGTGACAATGAAAATGGATTATTTGTCACGAAATAAAAATATTTTCTCGTTGAACCCTTGGGTGATCGAAAAGTATATCTCATTCCTATTTATCACGTACCCCGTTCTATCTTGTTAAGCACCCACCGTATAGCAGGCTTCCCGACAGACGTTAAGCCAATATAGATCCGAGGTCTTTATTCTTCGCAGTCTTTTAAACGTATGCTCCTCGCATTGACTTTCTCAGACGTCTAGGGAATTAAACACAAGCTTGTCCAAGGGAGACGAATAATAGTCGCGTTACAAACGATAAGGTACGACGGAGAGTGTTTTGCTTTCATTTAAATAAAAAACGAATGACGACGTCGAAATGAAATGAAATCAAAGTGCCCTTTAAAAACTTGCATTTACAGTTCAATAGAAATTCACATTCTTTTGTGCTTTCATGCTTTCGTGCTTTCATTCTCTGTACAAAATAAGAAAGATTTTTAATCATTTCAATACCATCAATTTGTGATTGCGATTTGTTTTCAAAGTGAAAACAATTTTCTATACGATTTCTGTATTTTGCAATCGATGCAGATAATTATTATATCGCGTAAACGTCTAGACGCCGACAATAATGATAAGCTTGCATTTATTTCAATTTCGTGTAATTTTTATCAGAACGTACGCTTCGATTAAGAAGTTCGTTAAAAATAAGCGTTAAAGAAGAAATCAGGAAAAATAATTTCTTCTGTCCGCGGTAGTTCTAGTATTAAATCTAAATGTTCCCAGACATAGTAATCTGCATCAACTTCCACGAACCAATTATTGTCGTAAAACCGATTTAAACGATCAGGTAATGTCGGTCTTAGCAGCGTCTTTCCTCACGTTTCACGACCACGAAACCGAGTCTCGACGTCCGAAGCTGCTAAGCAGAAAATGGAGGTCCGTTGACGGCAAGAACACGGCCACGACGCGACTCCTTAATAAGGGAAAGGAGATGCTTGCTTGCCCCTTTGTTCCCACTTTGGACAACAGATTTTCCTTACTTTCAGCGCGGCAGTTCGTCCGTCTGAAATTTCGAAGCGCTCGATTGTCGGATGAAACAAGAAAGGAATTAAATCGAGCGCCGCGCCGAGCCACGGCGAAACGAGTTTCTTTCGTCGCAAGCGGGAGGGCGACTCTTCCGAAGACTCTACGTGGCTGAATTAAATCGACACTGGAATCCGACACGCTCCTCTTTCGCTCGCTAGAAACCACAATTCCGCGCCGAGACTCCCCGAACCCCGACTTCTCGCTTCGAATTCTTCCGCAGCGATTACATAAAATTCGTACGTTTAAATTTCCACGAAATTCGTACGCTTAAATATACACAAAATCCGCACGGTTAAATTTACGCGAAATCCGTACGGTTAATTTCACATAACCCAACCCTACCCTATTCCCACCATAGCGGACAAAGATAGAGAGTGGCTACAGCGAAAAGAACGGAGACAGACTCGCATCAACAGGATGCTGCGATTGGGCGAAAAGACAATGCAAGAAAGACAAGTAAAAAATGATTATTCGAAATAATTAATTTCTGTTATTTGAAAATAAATATAGTATCGATCTATTTATTCGTTATTTATTATATATATATATATATATATATATATATATATATCGTTATTCTTTTGTATTTCAAACATGATAAAAGAAAAAGTTCTTGAAATAATATGCGATAACAAAATTTTAAAAATGACTGTAAATATTGTGGCTATTATAACTGTGTGTTTGCTAATGACCCTCGGGTTGATGCAACTTTAAAAATAAAAAAAAAATCTTGTCGGTCGTGTCCATCGAATATTGTTGCGAAAGGAAANTTTCCACGAAATTCGTACGCTTAAATATACACAAAATCCGCACGGTTAAATTTACGCGAAATCCGTACGGTTAATTTCACATAACCCAACCCTACCCTATTCCCACCATAGCGGACAAAGATAGAGAGTGGCTACAGCGAAAAGAACGGAGACAGACTCGCATCAACAGGATGCTGCGATTGGGCGAAAAGACAATGCAAGAAAGACAAGTAAAAAATGATTATTCGAAATAATTAATTTCTGTTATTTGAAAATAAATATAGTATCGATCTATTTATTCGTTATTTATTATATATATATATATATATATATATATATATATATATATATATATATATATATATATCGTTATTCTTTTGTATTTCAAACATGATAAAAGAAAAAGTTCTTGAAATAATATGCGATAACAAAATTTTAAAAATGACTGTAAATATTGTGGCTATTATAACTGTGTGTTTGCTAATGACCCTCGGGTTGATGCAACTTTAAAAATAAAAAAAAAATCTTGTCGGTCGTGTCCATCGAATATTGTTGCGAAAGGAAATCGATCCGGTTCGAGTCAGTTTCTGAAAGAGAAATGTGTCCCGTACGTTTTTTACATGCTGTCTCCCGAAACAATGTGTTGACCGTGCACCACTGTAATACCGAACAGACGCCGGAAAACGCCAATTCTTTCACATTGAAATTGTGGTCGCGTGCAACAAGATTTCCCCGTCAATCTTCCGCGTCATTGTTAACCGCTCGAGGTAACGGCCGCCCATTGTATCGTGCCGTTTCCTTTATACTTTATACCGTCCATTGTTCCTGCACCCGAGTCCAGACGCGGGAACGGTGTAATTAAATTTTACGCCATCTTAGGAACCCGTCGGCGACGTCTCGGATGAAGCGTCGCGGTACCTGTTGACGACTAGCATACCTGTCTAGTTTCTCATTAAGAACACCACATTTGAAGTACATACCTCGTAATTGTGATACGTCGACGACTGCCAACCCCATAGGATGGAGGTGCCATATATGTGTAATTTTATATTTAAAACAGATTCGTTAAAAAGTATATCCCAAAACGAAAAGTATTCCGTGCAAAATAAAAATAAACGACTGACAAATCAAAATGTCTAAATCAGACTTACTAAAAATCAGGCAGATCTGGTCTGAATAATTTTTAATAATGCTCGTGTTCTCACAAAT